AATCCACACAGGGCCAAGTTGCCCTGCTGTGTGATTTCTACCATCAGTATTCACGGTGGAAATGGAGAGTCTGGTTCAATCCAGGGTCTGAGGTTTACTAGGATGAAGGGCAAGGGAGATAAACGCACTGCCAAGAGAATTACCAGGGAATGGACTATGAACTCTGAGCTCAACTGACAGGTAGGAGCCTATAGGGAAGCATCTAAAGGCTGGAGAAAACCGTGGACGTCCTGAGGTTTTGAAGGCAGAGCAGAAATAACTGATCAAGCATGCTGAAGAGAGACTGGGGTTGGAGGGTGCTGCACTGTTCATCTGTGAGGCGGTATACACAGCACCTGGAAATCCAGGGGATTATGGCAGGAATGGCGATAGAGGTGAAAGAGCAGAGGTAATCACTGCAGGCTAGGTGTTCAAGAAAACAAGCACCCCGCCTATAGGGTGGGTCCTGCACACACACCAGAAAGTCAACTAGGATGATGGCATGAACTGAGGCAGAGGAAGGCTTGTGGGCCAGGTGCCCAAGTTGTCAAGGAATTAGGTGAGTGACCAGCAAACAGACAGAAAACAGTAATATGGAGGAGAGGATGCTGGGGTCATGGGTCTCAAAGAAATGGGGGGAGGAGACAAAGGGCAGTAAGGACATAAATTTTGACCATCCTAACGCTAGGACCCTGGAGAAGGAAATGGCAACCCACTCCAGTACTCTTGCCTGGAGGATACCATTGACAGAGGAGCCTGACAGGCCACAGTCCATAGGGTCGCAGAGTCGGATATAACTGAAGTGACTAAGCACGCACGCGATGCTAGGACAGCCAAGGTATGAGAAAACAGAGGCGTGACTTGGCTTTAAGTAAACAATGCCCCTGGGGAAGGACCAGGGTCAGTGCAAAAACAGGGAGGGAATGACTAAAGAGAGGCTAAGGAAATAGAGCTGGCTGGTGATCAGAGTAGTAATTTCAAAGGACTCAGGAGGCGCTGCAGGAGGGGGCTGGGGGTTAAAGGTAAACAAGAGTAGGAAACTGACTGAGGGGCACAGCATGAAGTGGGAGATAGGAGAGGAGGAATGGGGAGGTGGGGTAAGTTAGCAAGAACGCTAAGTGCTTTATAGATAGCTATTGAATCAGATGGGATTCTTAGGCATAAACCTAGTACACCTGAACAGAAGAGCTCTAACTATTGGACTGGAGGAGGGATAGAGTCTGTGGTAGTGACGTCGATGAAGACCGGGGACAATGGGATGATGCTGATGACTACCAGTTTTGAACACCTACTATGTACCAAGCGCTGTTGGAGGCACTGCACGTTTAATCCTCACAACAAACAGCTAAGACCAAGGACAGCATTATTAGCCACAGAAGGGCTCTGTACCAAAGAAGGGAGCAAATTAAAACAGAAACAACAGGGACTTCCCTGGTAGACCAGTGGTTAAGAATCCACCTTCCAATGCAGAGGTACTAACGGTTTGATCCCTGGTTGGGGAACTAAGATCCCACATTGCAAACAGCAATGAAGCCCATGAGCCACAACTAGAGAATCTGCACTGCAATGAAGAGCCTGTATGTTGCAATGAAAGATCCGGCATGCCACAACTAATACCCAGTGCAGCCAAATAAATAAATTTTTTTAAAAAAAGAAAGAACAGAACTGTCGGAGCCCTGGGGAGCTAACTGGCTTTTTGAACATGATTTTAGGGATCTCACAGCTGTAACTCAGGATGGAGGGAACCAGTCGGACCCACAACTATTTCAGTAACGTCAAACAAATAACATTCATAAATGCCAATATAGTATACTAACGCATATATATGGAATTTAGAAAGATGATAACGATAACCCTATATGCAAGACAGAAAAAGAGACACAGATGTATAGAACAGACTTTTGGACTCTATGGGAGAAGGTGAGGGTGGGATGATCTGAGAGAACAGCATCAAAACATGTATATTATCAAGTGTGAAACAGATCACCAGTCCAGGCTGGATGCATGAGACAAGTGCTCGGGGCTGGTGCACTGGGATGACCCAGAGGGATGGGATGGAGAGGGAGGCGGGAGGGGGGATGGGGATGGGGAACACATGTAAATCCATGGCTGATTCATGTCAATGTATGGCAAAAACCACTATAATACTGTAAAGTAATTAGCCTCCAACTAATAAAAATAATTGGGAGAAAAAAAAAGAAGAAAAAAAACTAACATTCAGACTGGAGGCAAATTAAAACTAGCAATAAGAATTTATTTTAGGCTTTTCTTCATGCCAGATCCTGTGCTAACCTCTGTATGACCTCATTTAATCCTTAATCTCCCCATCCAAAAGGCCAGTGACCATTACTATCCTCATTTTCAAGATGAGGAAACTGAGGCAGAAAAGATAGTAACGTGCCCACAATTCACACAAGGAATCCCTATTAACAAGATGAATTTGTGACAAGACTTAAGGCTTCTAAACATTACAGGGAAGATGCGAGTCACAGTATCAGACTTTGAAAGTCCTTGAATCCTGCAAAATGTTTTTAAAACATTAACTTATAGATTCTCACCATCTCATCCCATGTTTTTTCCAGATGAGAGAAAACCTGGTGCAAAAAAAAAAAAAAGAAAAAAAGGCTCTGAAGAAATGCATCCAGATGGTAAACAGGTCTGGTTTTTAAAGAACCAAGACCCATCTGAGACGTTTCTGCTTCAGTGGATCCAGAGTTGGGCCCAAGTAACTGCATATGTTTTAAAAGCTCCACGGTCTATGCTGGTGTGCAGTTCAGGCTGGGAATCACTGCCTTAGATTTTCTGCAGTTCCAAACCCAAACTTTCTCTACAATGTTGAGATGGCTGAAGAACACTGAGGGCACTAAAATCCGAAGCAGAGAAGAGCTGAAACTATAAAACTATCCAAGAGAGAGACAAGGAAAGACATGCTCTAGTTACATTATTTCTCTGTACTTTTTGTGTCTGAACTATTTTATAGCTAATTTGCTTTAAAAATCATTTTTATTGGAATATGTTGGTTTATAATGTTGCATTAGTTTCTGCTATTACAGCAAAGTGAACCAGTTATATATATACATATATCCACTCTTTTTTAGATTCTTTTCCCATAAAGGTCATTATGGAGTATTGAGTAGAGTTTCCTGTGCTATAAAGTAGGTTCTTATTAGTTATCTTATATATAGTAGCTAATTAGCTTTAAGTAAGCAAGTTGGCCAGACTTTCCAGGTAGTGCTAGTTGTAAAGAACCCCACTGTCAATGCAGGAGACCTAAGAGACAGTAGGTTCAATCCCTGGGTCAGGAAGATTCCCTGGAGGAGGGCATGGCAACCCACTCCAGTATTCTTGCCTGGAAAATCCCAGGGACAGAGGAGCCTGGTGGGCTACAGAATTGGGGTCACAAAGGGACAGACACAAGTGAAGCAACTTAGCACACACTTGAGCAAGCAAATGTTACCAACAAACATTAAATAAGTCAATCATTACCAATTGTTATTAAGTAAACCTAACCCTAACTTGCTCTTGAAAAGTGTTTTATTTTTCTCTGGTAATTCTGAAGACACTTCTGATTTTCTTAGCAGACAGCAGCCAATATGAGAAAAACTGCTTTTAATTCAACAGTGCTACGGATGTAGTCATCAGCAACCAAAAGCTAGAGAAGAAATAAGTTGGGTGTAGTTCATTTAATGTCACAAATTCCACCAAGAACTGCCTTCAGGCCTTTAATACTTATGAATGTATTTATTTATGTAATCAACCACCACTAACACCTAGTACATGCCAGACACTGTTCTAAGTGCTTTACTAATATTGCAACTTATTTCATCTTTACTTTACAGATGACTGAATATTATTTCATCCCCACTTTATAGATCAGGAGATTGAAACAGAAAGTAGTTTAGTAGCCTGCACAAGTTTCCGCAGCTGGGACCAGCCTGACAGTCTGGCTCCAGAGTCAATGCTCTGAATCACTATGCTTTGTCTCCAAGAACCTACACAAAGTACAAGTCCTAACCCAAAACCTGTTTTCTGGACTCAGTTCCCCCCAGCTTCCAAGGCATTTATTCAGTTCCTCTAACAGTCCATGAGCCTTCCTTGCTCTGCCAGAATTCCCTCCTACATGCATTTTCTTCCTTTTTTAAGTCTTCTGCTCCCAGCTCAAACATTATCAACTAAATTACAAACTCTAATGGTGCACTGTATTTCTCAGCACACAACACAAAATTGTAATTATGCTACTTCCTGAGTAACTACTTGCTTCCTGCCTTTTCCAACCAGGCAGATGAGTTCAGACACCATGTCAATCTTGTTCATCTTTTGTTCTCAATCACTGAATACCTACCAACCAAAAGGAAAAGCCTGGCACAAAGTAAGCTATCAATAATTTCTGTTGAATGAATGAAAGAGTAGCATACACTCAAGCCTCATGTTTTCTTCTTCATGCTTTCAGGTACTTGACACATACCTCTGCTCACAGCGTCCCCCACACAGCCCTCACCACACCCCTAAAAGTGTAGACTCCCATAACACACAGGTAACAGTTCTGGAAAATACTGGCGCTGCACGCAAAAATTAAGTGGCCCTGGACAGGTCATCTCCCCCATTAACTGGCCTGAGTTTCAGGTGCACAATGGGGATCATGACAAGTCCCAGTGAAATGTAACCTACGAAAGAGGGAGGACCTGCACTTCTCCTCATAACCCATCCAAACTGCAGTTATTACTTGCTTCACGCGTTTCCAACACAAATGTGGCTCTGAGAAGGCCAAGTCCATGTTGGCCTGGTTCGGCGCCATGTCCCAGGTACAAAAACCCCAGGCTTGAACCGTGCCTGGCAAACACCAAAAGTTGGATAATCAAAAGTTAAGTAGATGAATCCCCGCTCTGAGCATTTCACAGATGTCACACGAGTTGACCGATGCCTTTTGGCGTAAAAGCGTATTCCTTAGACACAGCCCGCATCCCCGACCTAGGCCCCAGACCCCCGGAATGCTGGCCCCTAACCCCGCACCGGGAAGGCACCTCTTGCATATAGAAGCATCTTCGCAAGTGCCGCGCACGCCCTCGTCGTCCGTGTCGGTAGGGGAAGAACAGGTGGTGAAAGAGGGCCTCCTCAGGCTAGCAGCCATGGGTGTGGAGGTTTCGGGGTGGTGCGTCCACCGGAGACATGGAAACCGGATCGACGGACGCCCGAGGAAAGAGTGAGCGGGAGAATAGGCAGGACAGAGGGGCTGGGCTCCACCAAGCTCAGCTGGCGCAGCTTAGTGACGCCACACGCGGCGGCTACCCCAGTTTCCCGCTGATTGGCCTCTCTATGGAGATGCTCATTGGACAATTTCCCACCCCCTCAGCCTGAGGAGATGCCTATTGGATCATTCCTTTGGCCCCGCCCACACAACCCGGAAATTCCCTGAGGGGAAAAGTAAACTGAAATTTACGCAAGAGAGTACCGCAATGCTCTCCGGGAAGTGTAGTCTTAGCTGCTTTGGAAGGCCACCTGTTTTCTCACAGCTAATCACGGAATTTTGTAACTGTAATTAACTCAGGGCGGAAGAGCTGGCAGGATCCTCAGCGTTGTGGCGAAGGACAGAGAATCCAGCCGGAAACAAGTGTCAGTGTTAACAGTGAGTTGGGGCTCAGTCTTATTCAGCAACTCAACAAATCGAGCGCCTACTCCGCACCGGTCACACAAAATCACCCTAGCTACATTTCAAGTGTGTGTGTGTGAAGTCGTGGTGGTGACCAGGTTGGTACAATCAGAATGAATCCCAGGAGTTGGATGGGAGTCGCAAAACCTAGAAAAAGCTCTCTTTTCCGGCAGACTTGAACACAGGAGGCTGTACCTTTGGAGCTACCGAGAGCCATCCTATCTCATATCGCCTGAGAAAGATGCTTATTGGAACGGCCCATGGAGTCTGGAGGACTGTGTGCTCAGTTAGGGGTGACCTGGCTTTGCAGTGTGGGAGCTTATGGGAACATCACCAGAACCTGTGACGCTAATCAATCAGAAGAAGCTGAATTCAGAAAGATGAAATAAACCATTATCCAGCACTTGGAGCTTTCATCCTGAGCTGAGTGTTCATTATTTCTCCCTACCCATCACCACCTAATAGAACGTCAATGAAACCATTATATTCGTTCTTCACTGGCCCAGTATTCCAAGTTTTTGGCCCATAATGTCATAGCTGTAGCCTATTGAAAAGTCTGTCTTTCCTCCTTTGAACTACTTTCACACCTTTCTCAAAAATTAGTTCAGCATATTTGTGTGGGACTATTTCTGGGTTCTGTGTTCACTGATTCATGTATCTATGTCTCTGCAAATACTACACAGTCCTGGTTACTGTAGATATACATTAATAATGTGTTAAAACAGTGGACTGACTGCTCCCATTTTATTTTATTATTTTTTCAAAGTTGTTTTGGCTATTCTAGTTCCCTTATCTTTCCATAAAATTTTAGATTAATCTTGTCTATATCTAGGGAAAAAGGCATACTGGGTTTTGATAGGAATTACATTAAATCTATCAATTTGGGGAGAATTGACATTTTACTATGTTTTGTCTTCAAATTCATGACCATGGCATATCTCTGCATTTATTTAGACCTTTGATTTATTTTATCAGTGTTGTAGAGTTTTCAGTATTCAGATCCTGGACACACCTTGTTAGATTTACACTTGATTATTTTAATTAGCAATTGTAAATGTATTGCAATTTTTGGTATCCACATTTTCATTGCTAGTATCTAGAAATACCATTGATGGTTGTGTTTATTTTGTATCCTGTGACATTATTGAACTCAATTACTTTTTAATAACTTCTTGTGGCATGAGTCCTGCAATTAAGAGTTCTATTGTTTTTTCTTGTTTTTGTTGTACCTCACAGCATACAGGGCTTCCCTTGTGGCTCAGCTGGTAAAGAATCTGCCCTCAATGTGGGAGACCTGAGTTCAATCCCTGGGTTGGGAAGATCCCCTGGAGAAGGGAAAGGCTACCCTCCCCAGTATTCTGGCCTGGAGAATCCCATGGACTGTACAGTTCATGAGGTCGCAAAGAGACACAACTGAGTGACTTTCACTCACTCACTCACTCTCACAGGATATAGGATCTTAGTTCCCCGACTAGGGATTGAACCCATGCCCCCTGCTGTAGAAGCTCAGAGACATAACCACTGGACTGTCAGGTAAGTCCTAAGATTCAATAGTAAGAGCTGTTTTAACATCTAGTAAAGTTGCTGCTGCTGCTGCTGCTGCTAAGTCGCTGCAGTCGTGTCCAACTCTGTGCGACCCCATAAACGGCAGCCCACCAGGCTCCCCCGTCCCTGGGATTCTCCAGGCAAGAACACTGGAGTGGGTTGCCATTTCCTTCTCCAATGCACGAAAGTGAAAAGTGAAAGTGAAGTCGCTCATTCATGTCCAACTCCTAGCGACCCCATGGACTGCAGCCTACCAGGCTCCTCCGTCCATAGGATTTTCCAGGCAAGAGCACTGGAGTGGGTTGCCATTGCCTTCTCCCTAGTAAAGTTGAGAGGGCCTCAAATGGCTTAACTGCAATTCCCCACACCATCTTCTCCCACACGTGAAGTTCCCCTAGCCATATTATCCTTCTTATCATAGGAACCAGACACAGTGCCTACTCATTCCCAAGTAGCAGACTTCAGTTCTGTTCAGCCCGCTGAATTATTCAAATAGGCAGGAACCAGGGCTCATCCCCATTCTTTGGTATTACAAAGTCTGCCTCCCAAGCCCCTGCTTGTTCATTCTGTTCCCAAGTGCAACCCCTGTGTGGCCCTGCATGATATGTGGTATCTTCCCCTGGGCTGTAGGTAAATGTGGCTCATAAACTGCTGTCCATCCCATCTTTTGGGGTCAAATGTTGAGTGTTAACCAACCCCACTAACCTAGGGTTGGAGTCTCTCTTTCCCCAATGAAGAAGTAAAACAATTTACATCACAAATAGGATGGTCTAACTCAATTGAGGACACCTCGTTAGCTTTAACTATGGGCTCCTTTGCTAGTTAACTGGTTTGCAAGGCAACAGTTACTATCTTGGATGTAAGTGCCAGTTGCTGGCCAGCTTAGGCTTTAGCTCATGTTCTGTTATCTCAGATGGATTTTGCTGTCTCTTTCCACTCTGTGGTCTTATGCTGGCCAACTAGGCAGAAACTATTGTTATTAATTGACTACATCCCAGAGTGAGGTGCCATCGAGTGTGGCTTGTGTCTGGCAGGTGGTCACTGAGGCTCCTACTTGAGATCAGAAACAACATAAAGTCCTAACTGATGGATGCTAGAGTTCCACAGCACTTCGCTTACTGTGTCTAGCCTGATGACCATCACTGGCTGCTTAGGGCAGTCACAGGGACTCTGTTTGGGAAAGTAGTGCCCCCCCCCCACCCCAGGGCGCTTGTGTTTGTAGTTCTGGGGATGAAGCTTTGTGTTGTTTGTAGAAAGGAAGGAGGCCACGACCTCAGGGAGATTTAAGAATGACCACTTGATTGACTCCTAAGTTACTGCTGTTCAGGCAAAGGTAGTGACTTTGCTCATCTCTTCTGCTGCAACTTCTCGTGGGATTGTTGCATGCTCTCCTGACCCCTAAGGGTTTGGAGGTGCACATCCATGGCAGTTCATGCTCCGAGAACCAGTTAAAAAAAAAAACAAAAGTAGGGGGAAAGGGTCATTGATATTCAACTGCTCTCTCAGTGCAAAACTCCCAATCAACACCTGTGAGTTTTGCTTCCCATTGTTACTTACCAGCACGCCAAAGGACTGATCTTGTCGTCTAGGGCTTGAGGTCCCCACCCAGCCCATAAACAAAATGATCTTACTGGATGTGGATTCTAACACTGTGGAGATGGACTGGCATTTTCTGGAGGGAGGGAATAGTCTTCTACAGGGCCTGCCATCCAGCGTTCTTTCCCCATAACCACCCAGAAGCTCTGTACCACTTGTGATTGGACAGAAACAAAAACCTGTGACGTTCGAGGGTAAGAAATCAAAAATGTCCTGAGACACTGTGTTCCTGGGGCTTGGGGGAACGGCGCACTTGAGGGAAGAGGTAGGGCTGCAGCAGAAGATGGTTTTGACCCACCCGCTTCGGGGCTGTGATCTTTCACTGACTCCCTGCTGCCTACACCGGTGTGACACAAAATCCGTCATCGGGGTTATGAGCAAAAACATTAGTGGTGGCCCTGTGTCACAATGAAGGGATTAATTCAAACCTGACTTAAGCCCAGGTTGCTAAACTGTATAACCATTGTTATGAGAGAGGCCCTAATCCTGAAAATACTGATCTGAGACTCTCTCTGTAGGGAAAATGAATAAATAAATAAATGTGAGCAGGGTCAAAAAGACACCCCTGCCCCAACCTCGGAACTTCCCTGGTGATCCAGTGGTTAGGACTCTGCCCTCCAGCACGGCTTCAATCCCTGGTTGGGAAACAGGTTCTGCATGCTGTGGGGTGTGGCCAAAAATTTTTTGAAAAAGACCCTCTCCCCTCAAGTATATCCAGTGACCAAAAAAAAAGAATGAATGAAAGAAACCTAGATACAGGGGGAGGTACCAAAAGATTCAATTAAACAAAAATTCACCATTTGACCCAAATGGAAAACCAAAATTTACTAAAAATACCTTTTATGGCAAAAACATAAAGGGAGTTGATTGGCTTTTGTGCATCTGCAACGTAGGTTTGGGACTAACTTTAACATCTGCTAAAATGCAACAGTTGGCAAACTTTCATGGACTTCATACTAACGCATCAAATTACAGTTACACCTAGTGTAATAACCATGCTTTCTAGTTCCTGTATTTAATGCTTTGACATCTGAGGCCTTGCTCCTCTTGCAGGAACTGCCCTGCAAGGGTTAGCTAATCCCTAGAGATAGCAAACAACTCACCTGTGAGTGTACCTTTCACATGTAAACTGGCCATCCAGAGCCCACACTCACAACCACCTCCTCTGTGGGGCTCTTAGAATCAGGACCACTATCCCTCTGCTCTAATTACCCCAGAGACAGATACCAGACAACTAGGGACACCACTGTGTCCCAGCGCCCACAGAGATGATTCAAACTAGCCAATCCTAAACCTGCTTGCCCCGCCTCACCTGCTCCTTCCCATGGAAACCATGAGAA